TAATAGTAATTTGTTTTAAGTTAGTAGTTCGTAGTTAGTAGTTTGTTGTTTTGTATACATTTGTATGAAACGCTATCGCTTCTTTGATCCAGTATTTTACATTGTGTTGTACTTATTTGTATTTTACTGTTATTCGTTATTTCGACTATCTATCATGTTATTGTATGTTAACATTTATAAAAAAAATATTTGCATCTTTTTATAACTTTATTGATCTAATCTATCACGAATATGTATTTATTAATATCGAGTAGTCATGGATCATCACGAAGTGTTTGCAGTTCTCAATCACAGAAGTCAAGCAGCGTTGACGGCAGTCGTAGCTTGGATAGGTGACCGTTAGTTGAAAAAATGTGATTAAAACCGATTAAAAAAAAGTAATCCATTTCGATTGAGATTTGTGTCCTGATATAATATGCGTGCATTGAAATGTTGTATTCTTTACATTCGTCATAAATTCGAGTTTGGTTTCGAAAATTTTTTCTTGTTATTGGTTCGATTAATTCTATATTACATTTAGAATAATAAAATATATATGAAATTTTATTATTAATTGAACTATATAATTAATTTTGACATGATATATTCATATACCAATCAGTAAATTTTGGATCGACCAATTGCTTTTTTTGTACGAGCAATCGTCAAAGTTTGGATTGACATAGATTCCTATCACCTGATACTAATCCGTCTAAAGTGATTTATATCCGATTTGAATGATTTTAATCCTTTTTGATACCGTATTTTCGGTACAGAAATCCCGATCGATTCGGATAACTTTTTTATAATCGGTTTTAATCGAACATTTTCGGCAGGGATTCCTCGCGTACCGCGACTTTGTATCCCGCGACTTGAAACAGAGTTGATAACGAGGAGCTCATACACCGGTCAGCTCCCGAAATTGACGACAATCATATTGGTTGCCGCTCCGTCACACGCGGCCCGACGAAACGCTCATTTACTGTGGTACACGCAATTATATTTGTTATTTGTTACAGGATTATTGTGTTTTCGATAACGCCCTTGCTCTCCCGCATTCCTTGACGCTCCTACAAATCGCCCCTCTGCCAAATTTCGGGGCTGAGTTATCGGTCATCGGAAGGCAGCTCGCGAGGCCGCCCTATTTCCTGGATGCGGCGGCGTGATATCTGGTGGGCGCGTCCTTCGCCCTTCAATCCGGGACCATTTGGCCATTTCGTCCCGGCAGCTCTCGGCGATGGCTCCGGGTTCTGGGGAAATCACCGTATTGCCCTTCGTGGGCCTTAGACCCTGCGCCAGCCTTCCTGGCGCGCCCCTGGCGGCTCTCGTAAATCCTTTCGCGCGATCACGTGCTCAGCTTGCGCGCCCCGTCGCCTAATTGCCGCGTGCCCGGTGCGTGCCCCCTTGGTTATTGCGCCGGGTTGCCTGTACTCATCTCCTTTGCCGGTGGCCTTGAATTCTCGCCGTCGATGCTCCTTGCGTCCGGTGAGGCGCCGTATCACATATAAGAGGTTCAAGATAATTAACAAAGATTGCGCGATTTAATTTCGGACCTTCCGGAGATCTCGATTTCGCTTATGATAACGTAGCTATCGGCCCGGCAAAAAGGGCGCGAACCCGCGCCTTGTGACGGCGGCGGGACGCTGCTCCGCTGCAGCGGGCCGCAACGTCACAATATAAATAACGGAAGCACAATTTTGCCTTTAAAATGTTTCTTTATTTTTTCCTACCACAATTCACCTTGAATAAAATTAGACCATAAGCCATGTTTCATTTCGTCATTTATTTGATTCATATATTTCAAAGTACAATCGAGCACTCCTGGTAAATTGAAAAATGCTGTTAGAACTTCTTTTATTGGAATATATTGTGCCTTCAACGATATCACTTCTTTTACTATACGATTCTGAACTCTTTTTTCTCCACATATTGCACCAATAGTATATGCTTTCGAAT